CCCACACCCACACCCACACCCACACCCACACCCACACCCACACCCACACCCACACCCACACCCACACCCACACCCAAGCTCACACCCGCATCCACACCCACACCCACACTCAATGGCTGATTTCTGGTATCCAACCCTTTGTTCTTCTCAATTTTGCTCTACCTTTAAAAGATTTTTCATCTCTTTTTGATCGTCTGGTCTTTTGCTTAAGAAGACATCTATTATGCGAAAACAAGACTACAATAAAAATAAATAAATTTAAAAACTTCGTTCTAAAAATTATTTTTTATCATAAGCGGTAGAAAATTTTTTATTTCAAATTTATTGTGCAGTCCATTTCAGTGTTTCTCGTTTTAAATTCAAGAATAAGTGAAATAGGTATTAATTTGATAATGAATTAAATATTTCTTTTTCTTTTTGAAATGACATAAAATAAATATATGAAAATTAATTTTGTCATAATTTTTTTAAAATGCAATTATTCGAAATATGTGCTTCATTTTAGTTTTTTTAAACTCCTATATGCGAAATAACTACAGTTTCTTCATTTTTATTTTTATCATAAATAAATATATTATTTGAATTATATTTTTATTAACATAAAACCTGATTATGAAGCAAATTGATATCTATTGAATTGAGAACATGTTAAATATTTCTCGTATATTTATAGTAAATCAAATTGACCTAAAAAGATTAAATAAAATATAGATATTTCGTCTGTGATAAATGAAATGAAAATTACTTCAACAGAATTATTTATTTATTTTCGGAAAATATTTAAAAATTTTCATTTTTTGTCACTTAAATTATTAAAAAGTCATCAAATAATGATGTTTAATATCAATAAAATATATTGACATATAGTCTAATTCCTTTTTTTTATACATAGTAAACTGAATGGTCTTTATTTCATTTATTTCTTTTGCTTTTTTTTAAGCAAATAAATAATATCAACATTACTCCAACACAAATTGTATCACAATAGAAAGGAAATCATTTTTTTTCGTAGGATAAGAAAATTGGAATTCATTTTTAGACAAAACGATAATTTTATTAATATAACCGATTTAGTGAAATAAAGTT